TCCAGAATTCCCCAGCTAGCCTTGCTGGCTGGGGAATTCTGGAAGTTGAAGTCCGCCTGTCTCAAAGTTGCCAAGGTTGAGGAACCCTGGGCTAGACCATTGCTCTTATTTATGCATTTAATCTTAATTGTGATGCTTTTATTGGGTTTTTTGGTTTTATGTTAACTACTGGGTATCTTATATGTAATTAAAACAAGGTACAAAATTACATAGATAGACAAATAATCCCCACATGGCTTGGACTAAATGGGCCAACCATCTTCATGCTCTATGTAGGTTTTTCCTGAAAACTTTTGATTGGTCATTTTAATAGAATGCAGGGTTCTCATATTTGGCTTTTAATACTTTTGGTGGCCTCAAGCTTCCACCATCTCCAGTCAGCATGGCCAGTAGTCAAGGATGACAGGAACTGGGATCCAACAAGATCTGAGCATCCAAGACCAAAAACTGCTGGTTTGTATGGCCCCTAAAGAACTTCTATCTTCCTTTAAAGAATAATTTGACCTTCTTTAATGATACTCAGTATAGTTCATTTTTGCCATCAACTATAGGAAACGATAATCTTACATCTGCTTACCAAGGGTAAATGAACAGAAGATATAGTAAGTGAAGATACATTAAAATACATAATTTCTATGGAAGAGGCATTTAGATTTAACTCAAGCACCATGCCTTTACTGAAGAACTGTAGCTTCCCATGTACTTGCACTTCTTAAGGGAAGTCTATAAAAATTAAATATTATTAAATATATCTGCATTATTATTAAATGTTTGCATGGTTACATTTGCATGTAATAATTTTAACATACCAGAGCTTAAGTTTACAATTCATTCATTCATTCATTCATTGGTAATTCATGTGGGAGGGAATGTTAAAAATCCCATGGAGAAAGTAAGGAAAGGTTGAGCATCCTGGGGGACATTAATGTATCCCCATATCACCTTTCTCCCTACATGTCCGCAGAGTATCTGTGGAAAAAGTCATTGAGAATATTGGAGATACTGGTCCTGAAACAGACCCATTCTTGTTGCTGCCACAGTCTTCCATCTCATTTTCTAGTTGCTGGAATTGGAAGTTTACAACAGACTGATAGCTATGAGGATTTAAGGACATACTGGACCATGATCTAAGTGAATACATCTATTAAAAGTCATAGTTAATAACTGTAGTTAAGGGACTCAACAACCTTGTTTATTTATTTACTAGAGTTTATATGCTACTTAATCCAACAAGGCTCAAAGCAACTTAAAACACATAAAAATACAACATTAAATTAGAAACTGTTATAAACTAATCAAAACAAAGCAACAGCTCCCCCAAGAACAGCTACAACATCTAATACAAAGCAGGAAGGTTCCCCCTCATCAACAATCTATCCAAGGTTGACTTGGAAAACTATGTTTTAATGGCTATGCAAAAACTCCAGTAAGGTGGGAGCCAATCTGATCTTGGGAGGCATGCTGTTCCAAAGAAGGAAGGCAGAGACTGAGAAGGCTTATCCCCATGATCCCAGCTCAGTCACCATACTAAGCACCTAAGCATAACATGGTTTGCATGTTAAACAAACCAGGACATGAACTGGATTCACATCTCACAGTAATCCATGGTTATGGCTGAGTTTATAAAACAAGCAGAGTCTAAACCAAACAAACCATATTATGGCTTAGTTTGATATGTGAACACCATCATCTTTTTATAGCATTGCCTACTAGTTTTTGTTCATTGTCCAATAGCTTATAGCATATAGGTTGAATAAATAAGGGGAGAGTATACAGCCTTGTCGCACTCCTTTGCCAATCTGCAGCCAGTCTCTTTTGCTGTGTTCTGTCTGAACTGTGGCTTCCTGACCTGGGTATAAGTTTCCCTTGAGGACAATGAGATATTCTGGGATTCCCATTTTTCTAAGCACATTTCGCAGCTTGATGTAATTGGCACAAAGGCCTTTCTATAATCAGTGAGACATATCGTGACTTCTTTTTGGTATTCTTTCACTTTCTCAATTATCTAGCATGCATCAGCAATAATATCTCATGTTCCTTGGCCTTTTCTAAAGTCAGTTTGAACATCTGGCATCTCTTTTTCCATGTAGGGTTGTAATCTGTGTTGGATGATTCTAAGCATTATTTTGCTAGCATGTGAAATTAAGTATATTGTGTGATAGATTGCATACTGTTAAGTCTCATTGTTTTGGTACTGGAATATAAATTGACCACTGTGTCATTCTCCAGATTTGCTGGCATAGCTTTGTTAGAACCTTGACTGATTCTTCTTCTGCTGCTTGCCATATTTCAGTGAACATTCCATCAGTTCCTGTAGTCTTCTGACTTGGTAATGACCTGAGTGCTGATCTAACTTCATCTTCTAGTACTAGAGGTTCTTGTAAGTATGGAATATCTTCTAAGGTATCTTGGATGTTGACATCTCTGTTGTACAGAGTTTCAGTATACTCCTTCCAACTTTGTTTTATCTCCTTTGAATTGGTTACTATCTGTCCATTAGCATCCTTTAGCATACTGATTCGAGTTTGGAACCTCCTTCTGAGTTCAGAGAATTTATTGTACACTCCCCAGAGTATGTGAGATGGGCAGCTATATAAATGTGATGAATAAATATGAATAAATAAATCTTCTGAAAGATTTTCCTTGTTTTTCCCTGTCTGTTTCCATCTTCAATGTCTTTACAGATGTTGTTGTAATACTGCTTCTTGTCTCTTCTGAAACTCTTTATTAAGTTCTTTTCTGAGTTTTTGTTTCCTGGCTTTGGCTTTTCTTCTCTTCTTGGCAATTTCCAATTTGTTCTGACATCCAGTTTACTTTCTTCTGTTTCTTCATTTTTGGCAGTATCTTTTCACATTCACCCTTTTCTTTGTTATTCCGTAGCTCCTCTAGTTCTCTATCAAAAAGGTTCAGGACATCAAAGCAATTCCTGATTCTGCAGGTTAAACATACCTATTTCTTTACTGTTCTTCATATAACTTGGCTTCTGATCCTCTCACATCTTGGCAGCCCTCCTCTGAACTCACCCCGGTTTGTCACTGTCCTTTTTAAACTACAATGCAGAATATTGAACATAAGATCTGATC